TATTTGATTTTTTTGGACTGTTTTCATGCATTTTGCGTAATGGGGCAATTGTAGAATCTTTGCCCATTTTCAATGTTTGTTTAAAGATCAAAGCTTTTATGTTTCCTGCTTGCCTCAGTTGCTGCCATATATAGGAACATTAGTATGAGTCCAATAGAAGTTTTTTCTTTTTCCCTGTCAATCGAAGTAAGCAAGAAAAATATGACGCATGGGCTATGTGGGTCGAGAGAGATAAACTTGAAAGTAAGGTCAGGCTGCAAGAGGTTTAATATATAAATATGAGGTTTGTAACAGCAAGAAGCTTAGACAGTTGAAAATGAGGTCAAAAGCTCTCCACGCCCTTTTAATATTATTGTGCACCGCTGTCTCAAGTCTGAACACACACGAATTGTTTTTTTTTTAATATAATATATAATGGTAGTGTTTATGGAATCTTATTAATTGGAATATTCCAATTTATTTTAGCAAAAGCTAGGCATATATTGCTCCTTGTCTGCACTGCATTTGCCTCTCTCCCACTTATTGAAAGTTTAAGTAAGAGGAAAATATGTTAGAAGGCCATGATGATCATAATGCTATAAGGTATCAGGCTTGAGGAATGAAGCTGCTACATATGGAAATCATTTAAAGTTGGAAAAAAAATTTGATAACTCATCTTTTTCCTTTTTCTTTTATATAATCGTGATGAAAACTCATCTTTTATAACTAAACTAATTTCGTTCTGCATGATAAATTATTGCATTTATATGTGTGTATGTGTGTTATCCTAAAGTATTTTTACACTTCCAAAGATTGTGAAGAAAGTGATGATTGATGATGATCTTTGTTTTTAATATATTACTTTCATTTCATTAAAATCTTTATGTACTACTCAAATGGTCTATCTCTTAATTTCCCCTTCTTTGCCAATTACCTCTTTTTCCTTGTGAAAATGCCATCAATCGTTGCATGTAACTAATGTTACGCGTGTATGTATAAGGTTCCATGGCGCATCTGCTACATATATCGTTCACCATAAAACACTCTCAAATTAAATCTTATTTCCTTCCAGCAAACGTTGAGATGTTTGTTCTGTCTTCATTGATTCATAAAGCAATAAGCCCTTTGCCAATCTTAGACATAGATTTTTTTTTCCGCTCAGTGTCATGGCATTTACCTGGCACTGCTGCCTTTGAGCTGATGAATTTCTCATCTACCTTAGGGAAGTCAAGAGGGACATTTCCCTGTATTGATGAATAATTATCACTGTTAATTGTTATGGTTGCTAAACTTCCACATTATTTTCTTGTCTGGCCCCTTTTAATCTGAGAAAGGAAGTGGTTTTAGTCATTGCTTGGCCATCATATCTTCAAGGTATTTGTTTGAGTTTACCTTAATTGATTCATTTGCTTAATTTGCCAATATGCCCTTTCATGCTTGTCTGAAGCTGAATCGATAATCAATTAGGATAACCTTCAAACCTGAAAACTTACATGAAAGTGGAGAAGTTTCTAGTTTCTTGTTTGTGGTTTTAATGTTGTTAGATGGAGCTTTTTCTTGTCTAGTTTGGCTAAATTTGACATGGAGAAATATGCTAATGTGGTATGATATTTTTGTTTTTGACTATTTGCTACCCTTGATAACAATTTTGAAAATGGATTTTAAAATCTATATATTTTTGCAGTCATGGCTCATTTAAGTGGAAATTATGAAAGGAGAAAAAGGATTGTAGATGTGTTCACAGTTTCGTTGGAGATGTCTGTTGTTGTTGGTTGGTTTCTGTTGGCAGCAGTGTCATTTTTACATACTCATAGGCCAAGTGATCTACTTCAGCAAGGAAGAAGAGAAGGACCAACGAGAATGCTGGGGTGACTTCAACTGAATCACTTATTGATGCTGCATTGTTTTTGAGTGATGAAATAAGACAGGTTAAAATTAATTTGAGCCAAATTATTGGAACTGAAATGGTCATCCTAAAAAGGGCGCAAGAGTTAGATGCAGCGTTAGGCAAGATCGAAGGCTTGACAGAGGATGAAAGGGATATGGCTTTAGGCAAAATTTCTGATTATCCAACCCAAATGCTTGTGTTTGTCAGTCTTCTGCCTAACCAAAGACTTAGATGGGTTAGAATGTTTCTTAGCAACCGTTGACAGAGGATACTTCCTTCTGCCTATGGGACAGTGTTTAAATACTGCTCCTGGGATAATCTTATTTGATTTTCTTATTTAGGTAGAATTGTAGAATTGTTAATGCTTTTGGAATTGAATTGTAGAATTGTCCTTTTGTTAATGAGTCTGAATCTTCGGGTGAATATCTTCTGATAAATCCAGAGGAACAACTTGTACTCTAGAATCTGGAGATAAATCTCCCCTGACTGCTTCACAACTAACTTATCTAAATTTGACTTATCATTAAGTTAATGACAATCAAATTGAGAAGAACTCAAGTACCTTTATTATTTTTTAGCCTAAACTCAAACACCAAAACCTAAAAATCAACTAAACTCAAGCTTAACACTGTATTTAGTCAGCTCAATTGGATTATGCCCTATAGCTAATCAATCTATAGTTGCTTTTGCAACGGCTCTCGGGGTAATTTATATGAAAAGTTCATGCAATTGAAAAGGTTTCATATCCACAAAATTTACAGTATAGACAATGGAGTAGAAACTTAAAACATGTAACAGTGATAACAAACCTATCTGAGACTCTTCAGAGATAAAGGAGATGAATGAAGGGATCGCATAATATCAGCCGAAAGGCGAAAGGTGGTATTCTCCAAAAAGAAAATGAAAGAAAAAGTTAAAAAAAAAAAAGGGAATATATCTATATCAGAATATTTTTATTACATACTTGATCTATATTTTTTTAATCATCTATAATCTTTGATTTGTCATATAATTAAGTATAAACTAATGTTGATTCACTGATTTTATACCTTACGTGAATTGACTTTGTAAAATTTTAATTTAATTTCTACTTGTGACGTAAATGTATGGTATTGACATCACACTTACAGTCGGACATACCCAAAAAAGGAAGCCGCAAATTTGTGCACATATATATGCCTTACTTTGTCGAAACAAATCTACTTTTTATTCGGTTTATTATTCATGCATGCCTTGTTGTTGAAAGAGGAAACGAAATTATCCTTTCCTTGGACAATAAAAAAAAAATCCCTTTTCCCCAAAGAGAAGAAAAGTAGTAAAGAAAAGAAAAAGGTTATTGAATGTTTTGGTCAATCCATATCTTCGTTGTATACTCATAAGAAATGTGCACATTTTCTACAAGTTTTAAGATTAAATAGACGTATTTGAGAAGAATCTAAACATTTGGAAATAATTATAAAAATCACGTTTTTTTTATTAATCTTATCTCACGATTTATAATAAAATTTAACCTCAAATCTTTTATTGAGAAAAATAAAAGGCTTTTAGAAGCAACCTAAAGATTTTTGCAGGTGTAAATTACATTTGAATTCTTTAGGTCTAGATTAGTTAGAAGAAGCTATTGTTCATATACTCTGTGTATTAATTATTTGGCAAATGAAGATCTTGGTCATTTATTAAATGGGACCAACATGAGCCTCATCTCTTCGTATGGTTTGGTCTTTGGACTACTTCCAACCATTTTCCAAACTGCAAAACAAAAGAAGAAAAAATGGTTGAGCCCTAGGAACAAATTTTGCATGGGAGCCAAACTTGGGGTTCTTGTCCCTTTGGGTTGGTTTATTATAATGGCTATTTGTTTGAGTTCCTTTAAAAATTTCACAAATAATATTAGAGTGTTGATACGTATCCTTTTTTTAAAAAATAATAATAAGTAAATAAATTATTTAAGGAATATATAAAAATTATTTATTTTTATTTTTATAATTAAAAAATTCCACCGCTTATGTATTAGTTAATGATATTTTGAACAATTTTTTATAATAAAACTTCTTTTTGCCTTTTAAAACAATGTATTTTATTTGAGAATATATGGATGAACTTGATTTCAGACACTAGCTGATTAAGTAAGGAATATCAGGGCAATCAAACACAGATAAACCATCTATTTCCTTTCTTTAGCTCTTGAAATAACAGAAGGGTGATTCAAGCATCAAAGAAACTAAACGTTTATTATTATCTTAAAAGACACATGGTTGGGATTTTGCATTGCCAAGGACTTGTGATTATGTTGCTGGTTACATGCATCTTCATCGCCTTAACAACCGGTCCAGCTGCAGCTATAGAGCGTCATTACATATGGGAGGTGTCTTACCAGTACAAATCTCTTGACTGCTGCAAGAAACTAGCTATTGCCATCAATGGGTTGACTCCAGGCCCTACAATCTCTGCAGTGCACGGAGATACAATCGTTGTCGACGTTATCAACAATTTGTTGATGGAAAATGTTGCAATCCATTGGCATGGAATCCGGCAGGTGTGTAGCTAGAATCGCGCTTATTGCTTTCTAAAGATATTTGAGTTTAATAAGATAATCCTAAGTTAGCCTTAGAGTCTGAAGAGAATCTTATTTTTCATGTTCCATTTCCAAGTTCCAAGTCTGCTAAATGGAATCTTTCTTCTTAACCACATAGGATTGATTGTCTTTGCATTTGTTAACTTGCTGAGCTATTGATGGAAAACAGCGTGGAACACCTTGGAGTGATGGAGCAGATGGTGTTACTCAATGTGCAATCATGCCTGGAGAAACCTATCGATATACATTTGTGGCTGACAGGGTAATAATTACAAGCCTTAACTAGCGTCTATGAAACAAGCTTTGTACTAGTAGTCTTAATTCTTATGTTTAAAGCTCACAAGCTTGTCTTTCCATTTGCTTAACATTAGGCTGGGACATATATGTACCATTCACATTATGGAATGCAAAAAGAAGCTGGGCTATATGGAATGATTAATGTTTCACTTCCACTTGGGGTATCAGAGCCCTTCAACTATGACTTTGATCGAGGGATTATTCTCAGCGATTGGTACCATCATACATCTTATGAACAGGCAACTGGCTTGTCTTCCATACCTTTTGAATGGATTGGGGAGCCTCAGGTAAATTACGCTACTGTATATTTTGATCTGCAACGCTTCAGAGAGTATATGGTAAGCATAACAAGCTTTCTGAACTATATTTTTATATGTCATTTTTCAGTCACTATTGATAAATGGAAGAGGGAATTACAATTGTTCAGGCTTAGCCCCTAGTGTTTGTAATTCAACAAATCCTCAATGTTCTCCATCTACACTGACTGTAATTTCAGGCAAAACGTATCGATTAAGGCTTGCTAGCTTGACATCTTTATCATCTCTTAGCTTTCAAATTGAGGTACACCGATGCTTCTAACTCAGAATCACAGTTTTGAGTAGCAAGTGTTCTTAAAACATTTTCCTTGTTTTCTTACGCAGGATCATGAGATGACAGTTGTTGAAGCTGATGGGCATTACGTTGAGCCTTTTGTCACTAAGAATTTATATATTTACTCTGGGGAAACATATTCTGTCTTAGTAACAGCAAACAAAGATCCTTCCAGGAATTACTGGACCAGCATCAATGTAGTTGCTCGAAAGCCTAAAACCCCAAATGGCTTAGCCATATTCAATTACTATCCTAATCATTTTCATGAATTTCCCCCAACAAATCCACCACCAGGACCCCTTTGGAATGACATACAATCCCAAATGAATCAAAGTCTGACCATAAAAGCTCGCCAAGGTTTCATTGTGTCCCCTCCGAAAAAATCAGACAGGGTCATTGTACTCCTCAACACACAAAACAAAATAAATGGTTATGTTCGTTGGTCCCTAAATAATGTCTCACATTCCCTTCCTAGCACCCCTTACCTTATAGCCTTAAGGGACAATATGACTGATGTTTTTGATCCAACTCCACCACCTGAAGACTATGACTCTGAAAATTATGACATATACAGTGTTTCAAACAACACAAATGCTAATTCTAGCACATCCATTTACAGGCTGCAGTTCAATTCGACAGTTGATATTATATTGCAAAATGCAAATTCCATGAGAGCAAATTGTAGTGAGGTACATCCCTGGCATCTACATGGGCATGATTTTTGGGTCCTAGGTTATGGGGAAGGAAAATTCAACTCGTCCAGGGACATTGAAAAGTACAATTTGGTTGATCCAATTATGAAGAACACAGTGCCTCTTCATCCGTATGGTTGGACTGCTCTGAGGTTTCAAGCAGATAATCCAGGTGTATGGCTTTTTCATTGCCACATTGAAGCCCATCTCTTCTTAGGAATGTTAGTGGTGTTTGAATCTGGGGTAGAAAAGGTGGGAATTATACCCATGTCTAATTATGGTTGTGGCAAAACCAAGAGCTTGATTAAGCGATCGTTTGATAATGGCTTTTTTAAATATCGTTTGAACAAATTTATGATCCATTTTCTTAATACTTTGGTGAAACACACTCAGTGCTAATAAAAACAGATCAGGACCCCCTCAAAGAAAATAGTGGATTAGATCAAACATTGTTAGTCAACGGCCTTTCAAGTTTCAATAGCACTCCTGCTTGGCCATTTTCGATTGTTATCCGAATCATCCCCGAAGATCTCCTCTAACAATTCCCCCAGGCCTTGTCTGGGACGATATTCGACCCTGGATGGCACAGAGTCAAGCCATGAAAGCTCACAAGTGTCACCTCATCACCTCACCTTCACTCCCTGATAGGGTGATGGTATTTCTCAGTAGACAAAACCAAGGACTTCGATCCGAACCCACCTCCTGATGAAAACGAATTTATAAATTATGATATCTAATGGAAGCAAGAAAACAGAAATGCTATTTGAAGCAATGGGATTTACAGATTAAATTTCAATTTCACCGTAGATATTTTACTTCAGATTGTAAACACCTTGCAAGAAAAATAATAGCGAGACGAATCTATGGCATCTCCATGGACATGATTTTTTGGATTTAGGCTTTGCCGGTATGGCATGGGCAAATCTTTGGATGGTCATCGACCCAAATTCTGAATAACTTCCTGTAATTACCTTAAATCCTTGAGTCGGGGTTTGGCACTCAATCTATTAATTCAGTCTGAGAATCTGATTCACTACCAAAAAATGCCTTAATTTAGCAATAACTATAAGAGAATAAGGGTTGGAAACTGACATGAATGCATAATCTGATATACTTCAAGAAATGCCTCAATATTGGCAACAACTAGAAGAGAATAAAATTTCATATAAATTGCTGGAAAATTACATGAATGCATACGAATTGCAAAATTCGTATGAGTGAGTGGAGTGGTGCAGGATGCATTTTAAGGGCAAAATTGAGCATTCAAAGTTTTGCGGGGTGGGGGAGAGACAGAGTACTCTGGAGTATGGACGTGCGAGCACTTGCTGCACATAGATAATTTTGTTTTTGACGAAGTCAGCTGTCACAGAAGAAAAAAAAAAGGAAGAAGAAGATGTTTGTGGCACGCATCATTTTTTTGATTATTGTAAAGATAAATTAATTAAGAATCAATTAGTTCCTTTCCTTAATGTGGATCAAAGAGATGCGACATGCAAATCACTACGAAGATGGTCTTAGGCATGCTATCCACGTCCAAGTGTATGCTCCTCCTTCCTACTTTAAGCAGTTGGGGGATCTCTCGTTTCATCCTCACACAGTTTATTCTTTTCGATTCCATGGCACGTCCCATTTCAGAAGTAGTTTTTCCCTCAACAAACAACATTGCTCGAGAACTAGATGAAATTTACAAGGATCTGCATGAACTTGACTTCATTTCAATTGAAGGAACTAGAACCCTGGAGAACAAGGAGAGCCCGCAAAAGGAAAAACAGATATCTGTTGATCCAAAATCATTAAGAGAACCATCCATGGGAGAAAAAAGCTTCAACATGATGTTACCTCCTATAAACGCGCCTCCAGGGGACACTGCCGTCCCTCTTCCACCCCCTCTGCTACCTGCAAAGCACAAGTTCTTAAGTTGTAGCCTTCCAAACTCTGCAACCTCTTCTCCTCGATTTAGCTCATTTCTGTCAAGGAAGAACTTGAAAAATGAAAGTCAAGCATCTCCTCGACAGGTTGACAAGTTGGTCCATAAGCACTCATCTGCAGCACAATATCATCAGGCTCTGCAGAAAGACAACCAGTTTTGGAGAAGCAAATCCTGTGGTGAAGGAAGAACATGTGCACCACCCGATGAACTTGATGATCTTTGGCTGTACAATGCAAATGACCTTCAATACAAGAACAAGCATCGTGGTCACGGCACTTTAATCTCCAATACCAATGTAAACAATGATATTCGTCATAAGAGTAGTAAGAACATGGACAGTAATAATGAAGATGACTTCAAATGCAGCGCCCTTTGTTTGTTCCTACCAGGCTTTGGTAAGGCAAAGCCAGTGAGACCAAGAAAGCCAGAAGCAGTGGTGATGGAGAATAATGTGATATCCAGAACAGTTTCCCTGGAAAAGTTCGAATGTGGATCCTGGGCTTCATCAACCATGATACCAGACCATGATGACGATGGAGACTCCATGAATCTCTATTTTGACCTGCCATTGGAGTTGATCGAAAATCTTGGGAACGATGCACATTTACCGGTTTCCGCTGCCTTTGTGTTTGATAAAGACATAAAAGGGGTCCTGAAAAATGGTTCAACCTCAACAAGAGCAACAGGCAGGAAATCCCACGAATCATCTCGCCATGTTAGGTTCTCTACATCATCCCCAACATCATACCCTGCCTCACCTGCTTCTTGCATCACACCTCGCTTGCGTAAGGCTAGGGAGGATTTTAATGCCTTCTTAGAAGCACAAAGTGCATGAAATTGTCTTACTCAACCTGTCAACATTTTCTTTTTTCCCACTTTATTTACAGGTGAGGCACTGCCCCAAGAAAATAAACTGTATGTTACAGGCGAGCGTATGCCAGCAACCCAATGAACTTTTTTTGTTCGAAAGCAATCCAATGAATTTAAACGAGGAGACATACGCGATGAAACCCAACTTTTCTTCTTTACTATGTTGGTATGATTCACTTTGCAAATAGCATTGCCATGATCGGCTAACAAATTAAGATGTTCAATCGACCTGATACAAAATGCAGTGGCGCTAAACAAAGCAAAAAGCAAGAGTCCATAAAGCAAACCAAGCACGTTAGCCACCTCAACGGATGCTTTGGGGGCGTGGCCCATCCCCTAGCCTCCTAAGCCCAATTGCTTATAGCCAATGGACCAAATTGTTCTTTATTTTTCTTTTTCATTAAAAGCATAAAACTGTCATGATAGTAGGATCTTGTTTTTTTTGGATAATAAAAAAATGTATGTATCCAAAGAAAAACAGGAATACCCTGGGAACAAGGAAAACAAATGGATCAAACAATTGTTCACCCTAAACTCCTTGTTTATATCAGCTACAATATTCTGCAAGTCGTACGATCTATATCTAACAGTCTCTATAATGCAATGCAAGATACCTTCCTGGGTTCTCCTTTGTTCTGCCAAAAGTTCTATCAGCTTTCAAATGACGTAAGTGTTGGCGACCTTAAGACAACAGAGAGCAATGCTTGGCCTTTTAGCCTTTGGCTAGCCCAGTGAAATTCGCTTGTCCAGTCCTGAACCATTCTTTGAATGCCACACATTTAAAACCTGCTGCCAAACAATCTCTGGACTCCACCTCCTGATCATAAAAAACATATGTAGTGCTCAACTGTGAACAAGCTGTACTTCAAGAACTCATTCTCTGTTTTTGTATATAACCTGCGAAGAATGGCCATCATGCTATTATAGCAAGCCAAAGTTGTCATGATATCAAAGTTGAATATAAAAATAAATTAAATAAAGATAAATGAAATAAAAAATTGCAGCTCTGTCCCTTGCTTGTTGCTTCTGTGATATAAATATGTAAGACTTAACTGAAAATGATGTAAATTTTAATAAATTAAGTCTTGCTCAACATACTCAATTAATAAACTGTTAAAAGGGAGTGGCAAATCACTTAATCTAGTTCCATTGACAACTATGGACAACCTAATTGTACTGATGATTTTGACATATACCAGAATCCAATTAAAACTGTTCTCTCAAGTCCAATTTGCTGAATTATATAACTAGAAATCTTCACTAATCAAGTATCATCAGTTGGACGGCAAACTCAACCTCATCTCATGACAATGAATGCTCTTTTAATTTCCTTTAGCTGTCCAACAATCAAATTTGGAACATTGATGTCTAAAAGATGGATTTTTTATTTTGCATGGGTTAGGTAACAGATGGAGGATCCACTTTCCAAAAAAAAGGGAACAGATGGAGGAAAAGAGAAAGCAAGCACCTCGCAGTGCACTGAGAAATACTGGATCATTTGCACATGGGGTACTGTAACTATACTTGGTATAAAGGAAGCAAATTTAGTAAGTGTTTCACTCACTTTTCCTCTTAAAATATGCAAATTCCCCTATTTTTCTTCCTCTTCCTGCTTCCTTACTAATAAACCATATGTATAGAAAATAGTTTCTATCCTAAGCCTTTCACGTTAACTCTCTTTCCTCCCTCCTGCTTTTTGTCCTTGTACCAACTACAGTGTCAAGAAGCAAGACTTGACCAGCTAGTCTTTATTTAATTATTTATTTATTTTGGCGAAACACGGTTTTAACTATTTTTTGAGGAGGAGGAAAGTAATGCTTGTTTTTGAAACTGATTAAACCTACAAATATACCGACAGCCAACTAGAGAACAAGTTAAGGCGGAAGAGATGTTGGATCAAAGCATCGTAAGGAATCTAAACAACTATTGAAATGAACATGATCGAAAGCAAAAGATCCAAAATGGGGGAGTAATAAACAGAAATCAAGCAATCACGTTATCTGTAGTCAACCATCAATTAGTCTTTTTTTGTTTTTTCCATCATGCAAGTCATGTTACGTGTAGTCAACATCAATTAGTCTTTCTTGATTATCTCATTACCATTCATTGCTGTACATTGACCTTTCCTTTTCTTAATAATATCACCTTATATAAATATGTATAATCATTATTTTGAAAAGCACAATTGATTCAACAATTTTTACTCAAACTTTATAGGATGATAAAGTTAAGGAAAGGGTTACCTCAATTATTGCGACGTAGAATAGAAAAAAGCTAAAATGGGACATAGGCTCCAGCTAAAAGCTTGCAGAGACATCAAACCACGCGTTATGACAACCTGGTCCTACATTAATTGATGTCCCATTTATTATAATAATTTGATACTTTTCGTTAAGATTAAGATCAATCAGGTATTAAATAAATTTTAAATTTTAATCGTGAAAGTGAAGGGATTCAACGGATTGAAATTTAATTATAAAATGAGAAAGACTTATTCTCATAATCATATATTTTTTTTTAAAAAAAAAAGTTATGTGCACTTAAAGGAAACTTCGTCTTCGACTTCGCTTCAGCATTCAGCAAAACTGCAGGCTTGTTTTGCTTAATTCCACAGGCCACTGTCACCATTACGGCACTCTCTCTATTATAAAAGGTGTTAAATTAATTAGGTTTTAAATTCAAATTAATTTCATTATTTCGATTTGCTCTAATTTTATTTTGAATATTTTCTAATAATGCTTAGATCATTTAATTTATGCGTGGGCGGATTACATTGATTATATTCATAAATGTTTATTTTAAATAATTATTAATTTACGCTTGACTTTGTCAACATAATAATAAAAACAAGTCAACACTTGATTTCCTTCCAACGCTTGACTTTCAATAGGTTGACTTTCCACCTTTCTTAGGAAATAATGCTTACACAATCTTCTTTTTTATTTCATAAACTCTGAGGGAGATCAAAATTCAAATGAAAAATTCTGATTTTAAAATGTTTAAAATGCAGATTAAATCGCACATAGGAAACCAAAAAAAATAATCAAAATGGAAAACTTATTAAATTTTATTTACATGCAATTAATTTGGAGTCAATTTGGGAGTTCAAATTTAAAAATTCTAAAGTTTTTATTCGAATTTCTTAATAATTTATACTAAGAATATCAATACGAAGGCTTCATCTTTTTCACATTTCGGCTTCATCAGCGTGGCCAAAAGCAAAACAATCTTCAGCCTAATGCCAAGTAAAATAAATGAAAAGGTAAACACACGAGGACTCGCGACGAACTTGCAAAGATTCTTCCTTTATGTTGGACCATGGGAAAAAGGCAAAAGTTGACGATTGATCCAAAATGTTTTAGTCAAATCAAAAATTAAAAACGCGGTTTCTGTACTTTAAAAAAGAACAAAACAAAACTATTCTTTAGCACAATTACCGTGAAATTTCTCATAAGAAAATTGAAAATTTTTTCCTTTTACTCAATAATTAAATAAAAATTAAATACAATAAATAGACATAATTAATTAAATAGATAAAGTACATAAAAGTGGTTAGATAGTACTACTTCTAATTACTACATATTTTTATTTATGTTATAATCTACTTCTTATATGTTAAAACTGTTAATTTATCAGTTTTTATTTTTAGCATGACTTATGTGAAATTTATAATAAGATAATTTGGAAAATTCTTTCTTTCTACTGGATATATTTTTGTTTTTGAAAGGCTACTTGATTATTGATATATATGTATATATATTCAAAATTTCCCATATTGGACATAATTAATTACTTCCCTTTTGTATTATTAATCTACTTATTACATGTTGTATTGTCAATTTATCAGTTTTTTAGTTTCAATTTTTATTCAATCTTTTAAAAAAAAATCTTCACAAACTTCACCTAAGGAATTTTTTCACTCAATTCTTGCTTCTTTTATTTTTGCCGTTTTATTGATAGTCAAAGTTTTACCAATTATTCTGTCCTTGCTACGACCACAGGGAATCTCTTGGCTGTTACTCGGTTTCTTCGTCAGGAGTGCAAATGCCTCGACTTGTCCAAGTGTCCCGCCAAAAGGTCCACTGTTAATATTCTATGATTTTTTGGGTTAAAGCCACACAACGCTGACTGGTCATGGTCTCCATTTCCAATTTAACATCAGCAAAAATAAATAAATAAAGAAAAAGAAAGGGGCAGGTCTTATCTACCTGGTCTTATGATCTTCGATACTCAACGCATATAAAAGGCAGCAAAACCATCGTCCGAGATGTACACTTATTTTCTCTGCAGAGGAAGGTTGATTGGAGCAACAATAACAACAACCCATTTTTCTGTTGATCGAGTTTATTCCTAGTTTCGGTGACTTGTTGAAAGTTGAAACCATAATTTTTAACGACAATGGTTTTGCTTTCAGAATGCAGAAGTAGAGTAATCTTGCTTTTGTCTTTATCAGTAATTATGGGTTTGTTAAATGGTTCGGGTGTTGAGGCTAGGATTCGCCGGTATAAATGGGAAGTGAAGTACGAGTACAGGTCCCCTGATTGTTTAAAGAAACTGGTTATAACCATCAATGGCCAAACTCCAGGTCCAACAATCAGGGCGCAGCAAAATGATACAATCATTGTTGAGCTCACAAATAATCTGTTAACAGAGAATGTTGCAATTCACTGGCACGGAATTCGACAGGTAAACTTCTACATAACCTGCCTATTTTCCTTCTCAAAGCAATCCACCTGGAGACTTCTGAACTTAATGTACTCTTGCTTTTTGATTGACAACAGATTGGAACACCCTGGTTTGATGGGACAGAAGGAGTAACTCAGTGTCCAATTTTGCCCGGAACCACTTTCAAATATCAGTTTGTTGTTGACAGAGTAAGTTCCAGGATTGTAAATTTCTGTAACCAGCTTGGTTCAGTTTTCATTTTAGAAGAATTTCTGTCAAGAACTATACAATGATTTAATGACCTTCCAATTTTTCTTAAATATGCAGCCCGGAACATACTTGTATCATGCACATTATGGAATGCAAAGAGAAGCTGGGCTGTACGGATCAATCATTGTGGCACTTCCTGATGGGCAGTCTGAACCTTTTACCTATGATTATGATCGGAACATCATTCTCAACGATTGGTACCATAAAAGCACTTATGAGCAAGCTGCTGGCTTGTCCGCTATTCCCTTCCAATGGGTTGGAGAGCCTCAGGTGAATGCCAGAAGCTAATTTTTACAATAAATTGCTCAATCCTCTGCTCTCTTGCAAATTTTTACTAATGATTCTTTATATGATTTTCAGTCACTTTTGATCCATGGAAGAGGAAGGTTTAACTGCTCTAGTTTAACCATTCCAACTCTAGATACCGGTGTTTGCAATACCACAAATCCAGACTGCGGCCCTTTCAGGTTGATAGTGGTCCCTGGAAAAACATATCGATTGAGAATCTCCAGTTTGACTGCTCTATCGGCCCTTAGCTTCCAAATTGAGGTAATTTCCTTGCCTCTCCACTTCCACACCTCCACAACTATACCTTGCTTGTAATAAGATTATAAGATGGTTCAAAATTTTCTTGTTACTAAATCTGAAAGCAAATTATGTTGTGCAGGGCCATAATATGACAGTTGTTGAGGCTGATGGGCATTATGTTGAGCCATTTGTAGTACAGAACTTGTTCATTTACTCAGGGGAGACATACTCAGTCCTAGTAAAAGCCGATCAGGATCCTACAAGAAACTATTGGATTACATCAAATATTGTTAGTCGACCTGCCAACACCACTCCTGGTCTAGCCATTTTCAATTACTATCCAAATCATCCAAGGAGATCTCCTCCAACAAGTCCTCCCGCTGCCCCTGTCTGGAACAACAGCCGGCCTCGAATAGCGCAGAGTCAGGCCATCAAAGCTCGCCGAGGTTACATCCACCCTCCGCCTTCACTCTCAGACCGGGTAATAGTATTTCTCAACACACAAAACACGATAAATGGAAACGTCCGCTGGTCT